CCTTCAAAAATAATAGAAATACAATTTTGCAATGGTCAATGTGACGACAAATGGGGGTCACAAATACTTTTTGCGATAGCAAAACAACAGTCACAAACTATTTGCAACCACCTAACCTACTTATGGAAACTAATGTTTATGCAGAGCAAAAGAGTAAAAAAAAAAAAAGTATATCCCAATTCCATCAATTGATATTAATGCAGAGCACCATACATATTAAAAAAAAAAAATTTTTTGAGGCAGAGCAAGACAAACTTTCATTAAAATAACAGAACACAATAAGGATACACTAAAAATAAAAAGGTGGGACACAAATTTAGACTTGTGGATTCCATGTCTCAACCTTTTCTTTTCTTTGAAGACTTTTAACAAACATTTAGCTTTCGTTTGGAATATGAATTGAATTTTTAATTTTTAATTATTTTAGTTTGAAACTAAAAAGTTTCGTTTAAGATAGATTTTTTTAATTTTTTTAACTATTGTGAGAGAAAAAATAAAATGATTATGGTTTGGATGTGATATTTTATCTTATTGAGTTAAAAAACATATTTTATATTTTTATAATTGTTTTAACTCAAGAAGAGGATGCCAAACATAGCCTTAGGCTTGTTTGGTTTATGCATTTAAGTAAAGATTTAAAAAATAAAAGAAAAAAATAAATGAAATATAAATACATTCCATTTATGTTTCATCCACCTTTTCATTTTCTTTTCTAAATCTTTACCTAAATTTATGGATCAACCATATTATTAAGGATTTCAAAATGAAAAATAAAAAGGTGGGACACATTTTTTTTTTCCTTCAAATCTGACTCAAATCTATGAACCAAATATAATGTTAGAGTATTAATTTCTTAATAAAAAAAAATTTATTGTTCAATCAAAAAATAATAAACCTAAAAATAAATAATTCCTTACAAATTTTTTTTTAAAAAAAAACTTCCAAAAATTTAAAAATAAAATAAAATATATAATTTTATTAAGTTAGACCATACAAAAAAAAAATTAAATCTCACAAATTAAAAACTTCCCTGATCAATACTCTTCTTCGACAGAGGCTGCTACTTTTCTTCGGGGATGATTTTTCTTTTTCTTCGGTGATGATTTTCAATGGACTAAAATGAGTTAAGGGGTTTCGGCGTTTTATTTATTTTTTATCTTCTTTCATTTTTTTTTTCTTTTTCTTTTTCCAAAAGTATCTTTCTACCTCGTGACAGGGAAGTGCGAGTTGTTTAGTTGTGGGAGGGACCTACTATTTTTAGATGGCACTCTAATTAAATGTTTGATCATTTATTCGGTCATTTTCTTGGGCAGGTAACATTACTATTTTATTAAATTTATTTCAACAAATAAGGATTGCGTTTATCAATTGAGTTATGCTAATGTCCAAATAAATTATTAAATTTTTTATGTAAGTGTAAGACTTATGCATAAGTAATTTATATGAATCTCATATTCCTATAAAAATATTAATAAAAAATTTAATAATTTATTTTAAGTCTACAATATTTTCCTTACCAATTTGTCTCTCTTTTGATGAAATCGTATGATGGCCTTCGCCTCCGCTAAAATACGGTGGTGCTACATGCACCAATTAGTATACTAATTAGTGTACCAACACCAGTTATAATATTATTATTGACCTTACTCATTAATTACATCACAAATATAAAAAACTTCTTAAATTATGTCACATTATCAATTAGTACACTAGTTGTTATACTAATTAATACATATAACATTATTCATTAAAATAATATTTTCATCAAGAAAAGAAAAGAGTCTTTTTAATAAGTGTATCGGACATAGGAAAATAAAATAAAAAACTCAATTTTATAACTTCAAAACAGTTGGCTTTGATTTTAAATTTTTTTTATTTATTATTTTTAAATCACTTTTTATACAAATTTTAAATATTAAATATGCTCTTTAGACACTTGTTATGATTTGTCTTAAAAATATATATATTTATAAAATTTGTATAAGTTATTCATAATAAGAAGGTGGTTGTGCAAAAAAAATATTAAAAAAAAATATATTTTTTTTTACTAAAACATAAGTTTTGGTTAAAATTAAGATGTTTTGGATGATTTGTGAGCGTACTAAGAGCATCTCCAATGCACTAGGTATATAATGATTGTTAGGTAAAATGTCTAGTATGACTCACTTTTTTCAACTCCAATGCACTAGGCATGTAATTAGGCATTTTAGCTCAATTCACATTCACTAGCTACAAGTAGCTAGCCTTCAAGGTTAGGCAAAATGTATTTGATCATTAGGATTATTTCCCTCCATCTTTGTTGCTGATGTGGCATTTTATAAAATTAATAGTATTTGGATGAATAGCTAAAATAAAGAGCATGGTTGGAGCAAAAACATGAAACAGTTGATAGGCAAAATAAAATGTACACTTTATAGTAATGTTTAGATAGGTAAAATGCCTATTACCGTTGGAGATGCTCTAAGACAACAATACCTAAGTTGATGAAAACGTACTTAGAAAAAGTTGACTTCTAAAAATATGAGGTTGTATGAGGCTCAAATGGATAAAAGACTTTTTAGCTCTTGTTTTAAATCTATAGTAAAGATATTTTTCAAGTCTACTCCTAAATTGAATTAGGGTTAAACTAAAGACAAATAACACTGAGTTATATACTAAGTTGTGATGAATGTTGAATTGATTGGAGTTTGCTCCATTTTTTCAACTCTTGTATTTATGGAACCTCCTGAAAATCGTGGCTACGTCTTGAAAACAGCAACAGCCTCCTGAGAATCTCTCATGATCTTCTGAAAGTGAAAAGTCATTAAAAAAAATCAAAAAGCCAACAACTTATTTCAAAAAGTCAAAAATTTATTTTTCTCTCTACTTTTTGCACATCTTTTCTTTAAAAAATCAAAAATTCATCCCAAACATATTAATTTTTTTATATCATATTTTAAATAAAAAAATCAAAAAATTATTAAAAAAGCATGTTTTTAAATGAGGCCTAAGTCACCAAATGGACATGTGAGACCATTTCTAACTGTTCACCAAATCCAATATTAAATTCAAATTTGATGAAAAACATGTGCTTTTTGTGTTCCAACGGTTGCACCAAAACAGTATCAGATTGAGAAAATATCAGACGTTTTACCAAACTGAGGATGGCTTGCCCTTTTCACAAATTCACTGTGCATAGCCGTTGAGTTGGACCCATCGAACGACCGACCAGATGTCTCACTAGATGACCACTTTAAGCAAAAATTTGTGAAAATTTTATACTGGGGGGTCGACCACCAAGAGTAACAAAGAAGCAGTGATGAGAGCTTGCTCATGGAGAAAAAAAATCTTGTCCGGTCGACCGACCGATCGTCCTACCGGACGTTCCTGCCTTTTGATGCAAGCTCAATGCACCCCTTGGAACAATTCATATCAGATTGAGAAAATCGTCATTTTTTTACTTAAATTTGATTAAAAAAATACTGAGCCGTTGGAGATGCTTTGATGACCGCTCATTAGGATGTCAAATCTAGTACAAATAGAAGGAAAATATATTAGTGATATTTTTTAAATGATAAGTCATTTAAATAGATATTTTATTTTAAAGTGATAAGATCAAAATTTATTATATGTATTAATTTATGCAATAATTTTTTGTATAATTATCTTTAATTTGTAAAGTATTACATTTTAAGGACATGTTTAGAAAGTGACATTTTTAGTGATTTTTTTAAAAAATTAATATGAATTTTAAATATTTTGGGCTTATTTTGGAAACTGGTTAGTAGAGGGTTATTTGGGGTGTCCTAAATAAGTGCACTTTTTATTTTTTTAGACTAAAAAATTGAGGTTGAAAATATGGATGTTTGGCTTAACTTTTTGAGTTTTTATGGAAAAATGTGTAATAAAAAATTATAAAAATTGACTTGTAAGGAAAAAGGGAAAAATTTGAATTGAGAGTTGTGCAGCCGTAATTGTTGACTTTTAGTGAATAGTGTTAACTTTTTAACTTTTTGAGTAACTTTTTTACAAGTTCCCAAACTTGGCCTAAAAATCAATTTTTTTCACTTTTTAACTTTTTTTTTTTTTTTTTTTTTTTAAACTTACATCACCTTTTCAAAACAAACATGGTATGAATTGAAAATTTTTTGATAACTTTTTAATTAAAATAGACCTAACGGATCATAATTAATCTCATTCACTCCAGACTCCGGAGATCTATAAATAGGAGATCGGCCATGATAGACACGGCATTCCCACTTAACACCAAACCAAGCTTCCAACTCTCTCTCTCTCTCTCTCTCTCTCTCTCTTTCTCTCTATATATATATATAACTCTGCTTCGAGCTTTGTAAGTCACACACAACAGTTCGCAGCAAACCAACACCATGAAGGTAAGTAGTAGTATTTTGGTAACAAAGAAGAAGTATAGAGTCATGCAAGATATACAAAAGCTAATTTGAATTTGTTTTTTTGCTTAAATTGCAGCAAAAGGTGGTTATTAAAGTCTCCATGAATGGACAGAAATCTCGCTCCAAAGCCCTCAAGAAAGTAGTTGGTGTTCAAGGTATATACATATATAACCATAGCTTTGATCCCTCCAACTCGAACTCTCTGTTTTCATTTACAATTTCAAGAACTTTTTTTGAGGGATTGTATATTTCTCATAGTTTAGGGTGAGGGATAGTCTCTCTCTTTTTTATTATGCACAACCTTAAAAAGGTATTATATGTAATTTTAATTATGTTAATTTTTTTTAATTATGATTAATTTTATGACTCATGATATGTTTAGTTATATGAGATAGTATTTGATATAAAATTATACTATGGAAAATGTTTACATACCCCTTTCCCTTTCCAGAGCATACCTACCCCTTTCCCTTCCCTATTTTGGTTTGAATAACATATGGGGAAAATAACAATTCAGTTGAAAGTACAAAAATGAATCTCAGTTTGATGAAAAAGTTTATGAATTTTACAAAGTTATTCACAAATATGAAAATATATATATTTTTCTAATTGTTTTTGTGGGATGCAGGGGTAGAAGCAGCAGCTTTACAGGGGCAGGACAAGATAGAGGTGACCGGAGAGAAGTATGGATGTCATTGGGCTCACGACGTCGCTGAGGAAGAGCGTTGGTATGTGGTAAGCGTGACCCCGGTTGGGGAAAAAAAGGAAGGAGGTAAGAAGGATGACGGCGGCGGTAAGAAAAGTGAGACCCCAGTGCCTATAGTTTGGCCTTACCCACCATATGTCACAAGTGTGCCCGAGTACTATATGTACCCAGTTAGGGAATATGACAACAATTGTTCCATCATGTGAGTGTAAAGAACAGGAAAATCAGGAGAAAAAAAAACAAAAGGTTTGAGAGCTTGGAGGTTTGATTATTCAGCTCTCTGTGTGGAACTGGATTGAAGAAATAATGAAGGCATAATATAACTACATAGGCTGATCAAGGGCTTGTTTGTCAAAGGACTTTTTTTGTACATGTAAGAGAGGGAACATGATCTTAAGTTGATCATTTCCAGTGCTTGTAGCAGATCCAAAATAAATAAATAAATGGATTTCTAGTGCTTGTAGTACTTTGCTTTTATGAGTTTTGGTTTTAGGTATACGTTTTCAATTTGGGTTACAAAAAAATGGCTAGCTAATTATCAAAAAAAAAAAAAAAAAAAAAAAAAAAAACCAGATATGTAAAGGCTAACAAATATTCAAATAAGATAGTGAATTCAGGAGAAAGTCGGTTGTTTTAGATATTGAAAGTGTATAATTTGAAAGGATTGAAGAAAACTACATCTCAATACAAGTACAAAAATAGCACAAGGATCTTTATCTTGTGTCCCAACTCTCATACAATTGTGTCCCGAGATTCTCATATATTGAAATTTAGTTATTGAGATGGATGTCGAATGATCGTTTACCATACAGAAATATAAAAATTTGACTCGGTGCATGGAACCAATGGTCAAACGAAGGGAAAACTCTACAATACTTTTGTATCTTAAAATGATTACATACAAGGTTGACTTGAATATCTTCACAATTGTCTGTCAAAGAGAAGAAACCTCTCAGAAAATCAGGTTGGCAGCAGCATCTTCATCCTAGTCGTTCGATTCACATTTCACATAGGAGACCATTGACTGCCTGTTTCTTAATCAAAATCACCAATCTTGGCACAAGTAATTAGTAAGATTTGCATAACAATTCTAACTCTTAAAAATGTTGAAAACTTTTTGTCTCTAGTATTTTAAACTGAACTTATCTGCCATCATCTCAAAAAACAGAAGAAAACTACCAAGTTTATGGATTATATATGTATATCATGAGTGAGTAGCGGCAATAGTGTTAAGGTTATGGGTAAAATAACATCAAGAGTAATTATTAGCAATAAAGAAAGATGAACCTGTTATAAATCACGATGAAAATTAGGTCTGCATGACTCCTCTGGTGCCAACCAAGAAGAGAGTCAAGATTTTTGACTTGCTTCTCAATTGGCATCCAGGGAGCCAGGCGGACCAATCCTTAACATTAGGATAAACATCATTTGACCTTCGTCTGTATCTCTCCCTTGGCTTCCAAACCCTACAAAATGTAAAATATCGAGAATGATCGAGTCCTTAGTTCTTATTTAAATTTGATTAGGAACAGAGTAACACTAATTCCTTGACCCAACAGAGCAACACTAATTACTTTATCTAACTTGTTGCTTGCATTTGGCCGAAGCTAAACAGAATTGACCTTCCGAAATTGATTACTTAGGTGGTGTTTGGCAAGCAATTTTGGTGCTAAAATAGCCACAAAAGACCAAATAAGCTATTTTAGTCACAACAAACAAATATCACATCTAACCCATAATCATTACACTCTTTTCTCACAAAAAAAATCAAAAAAGTCAAAAAAAAACTAAAAGGCCCTTCCCAAACCAAGTTTTTTAGCTCAGGCTAAAATAACTAAAAAAGTTAAAAAGACAAAAAGTCAACCCACTTTCCAAACGGAGGCTTAGACATTTAAGAGTCCCATAATTCTGAGATGTGATCGCTGTGTATGAAAGCATTTCGTGACAGACTTCGCTTTGAGCTACATTTTCATAAGCCTATCTTATTAGTTTTCGGCACAGTGAGAATAGGTCGGAAGAGAGAGAGAGAGAGAGTCATCACTAATTCTCAACATTAAGGGTGTGTTTGGTAATGTTTATATTTTCAGTTTATATTTATAAAAATTTTATAAACTGATTTTTGTTTATTTGTAGAAAAACATAAACTACAAACGCGTTTGGTAATTGACAAAAATGTTTAAAAATATTTAAAAATATACAAAAGAGTAAGAAATGACAAGTGGTGGCAAGTGGCTCTCAAAATATTCAGTTTTTGAATTATATCTTGAGATTTTCAAATCCCAATAGTATATAATCTAACAATTGTAAGTGTTTTAAGATATAGAGATAGATTTGAAGCCAACTAACTCTAAAGTAACTTAGCCTATCATTTGGACAAAAGTTCAAAAAAAAAAAAAACAAAAAAAAGTCAATTAAATTGGTTAGTAACAACAAAGTCATAGGTTTGAATTTCAAGAATACATTAGTGGTTAAAAGTTTTATTGTCCACTCGTCTTAAAAGCCACCCTCGGGATTTTAGACCCATTAATTATCTGATATGTAAGCCATAGTCAGAGTAAATTACGTGAGCAAAAAAATAAAAACAAAATTCAAATGCACTTACAGTTCAATTCCATCTAAAAATAACTGAAATGCATTCAACAAAGGAGAGGAGGAATGCAGAAACACCTCCCTCTCACTCTCTCGTCCTAGGTTACTGCTCTCTCTACCAGTATATTCCACCTCCAACCTCCAAATGAGCAAAGTACTTAATAGCTATGATGTGAATTTAAAGGCATATTGAATGAAAATAAGACAATGGAAAGTCCATAGAAGAAGATGAAAGAAAGGAGTTCGAGCAGGCGGCAGCAAAATAGGCTTAATTCAACAGCACATAGTTTGTTATATAGAGATAGAACCAAATCCAGCAATGGCCCCCTAACAAGCCATTCAAGTTTGGCATTTTCTTCCATTGGAAAAGATGATGTTGATGTGAAATAAAATGATATGACTCTATATTGTTATTCGTTTGACTCATTTTGACTAGTTTTAAGACGACACCAAAGTCACTGTATAAAACAAAAGCATGGTCTTCGTAAGGGTGTGTTTGACGGATTTTCTCACAGCCGGTTAGGAGGGGATAGTGTATTCTTGTTTTTTTGTAATTATATGATTTAGCTAAAATTTATTTTATAATGCTTGGATTAATAGATCTACTAACCTTGACAACTGCCATGGTCCCTATCCTAGTTCTCCTTTGTCCCATGTGCGAAACTCTCTCATTATCCAAAAATTATCACATGGGTATGAAATATTATATGTGATTGTTTGCCAATTTCATTTTTTTCTTTTTTTTAATCATTATAAGCAAATTGCACTAATAAGTCACTACGTTCTTACGTGTTTATTAAAAAAAGGATTATACCATTATTTTTTAAAAGCAAAAGAAAAGTGAGAACAAAATAAATATATGAACACTTGTAATTGACAAGTATATGACGATATTGATATTCTTAACTCACTTGATAATGCCGTCTTCTTGTTGAATGGGTAAAGTCAAAATTTTTACCTAGCAAAAGGAAAACTTATCTTAGAATTATACTAGGTTTTTTTATTTTTTATTTTTATTACCCATTTTCAAATTATTCAAAATCAATCAAAGCAAATCAGCATACACAACACCACGTAACACAACGTAACACAGAGATAGAGAAATACGAGAGTAAACAAAAATTAATATCATAGGTTCAAATAATACTTTCTAAAATTTTAATGGAAAAATTGAAAATAAATAAAAATGAAACTTTCTAGACTTATAAAACTAAAATTTTCACCGGGGCAAAACTAAAATTATAATCTTTAGTGTAGATCACATTTTTTGGTTGTAATCGCTCTGGATTTTTAAAGAGAAGTTTTGGGTCGAACTTATGGAATGTTGGACCACAAAAAAGAAAGTCATGGAAGCCCAGTTTAAGCCCAAATTTGTCTTTTCTGTACTTGGACTTACCAGAAGGCCCATTTCATTCATTGGACCTATACAAAAGAAATCACTTTACACAGAAATTTACACATAAAAGCCTTCACAGAGTGGGCCTCTCCTTCCATCATAAATTCTAGCCCAACACCCTTCGTAATCATGAAGTCAAACTTGGGGGCCGCATTAAGAGCCCAAAACTTTCACACATATCCAAAATAAAAAATAAATTTATCTATTTAGTTTTGTTTTCAATTTTTTTAAATAATTTTTTAATTAAAAAATAAAACATTAATTTGGTATATAAAAAAAAAAACAATGATCATTTACACATTTTTCTTTCTTGGGGTGAAAATATTTATTTTGGTCAAAGTAATTTTTTATATTTGATGATACAGTTTGTTCCAGTGAATGGATCGGACAGGTCCAAGCTCCTCAGATCCACGTCCAAATGATCAAGCCCACCGGATAACCTACAAACAAGTCCAACGGGGAACGGGGTAGTCCTCCAGTGAACCCTCCGACGAGCAAGTTAGAAAGAAAAGTAGGGTGTAGAGAGAGATTAGAGATAGAAAGCTTAACCTTCTTCTTGTCTTCGACGTTTGCTTATATTCTTTGGTAATCATTTCGCTGTCCCTTCCGACCTGCCCTCCTCGCCGAAAGTCTATGCTGTAGCTTACCTTGTTCAGGGTAATGGGGTCCTGTTCCGACGGAGAGATGTTGTCGTAATAAATGCTGTGATGAGCTGCATTAATGGTGATGTGCAGTGGCAATAACTTTGCAGATCTTTGTCTGCTGATGTGGCTCGTCCTTCACCTGCCATGTGTCTGAATGTCATTGGCTCTTTATGCCATGTTGGATTCCAGCTGTTCTGGACCTCACCTGCTGGGTTATGTATTGGGCTCCAAGTGATGGGCTTGGGTTGTTCATAGTGATTCATGGCCTTTATGGGCTTATACACGTCAGTAGTCCCCTATTCCCGAGTGCAACTTTAGTCCAACGAAGGGAATACTAATGAAGAAGATGAGGGTGTTAGGGATTGGCAGGATGGAGGTCGACCAATAGGGGTGACCGAGAGGGTGAACCGATCGGAAGGTGGTCCGACCGTGCAAGGTGACCGAGTGGAAGGGCCGACCACGAGGATGGCCTACCACGAAGGTTGGCCGAGTGGGAGGGTTGACCACGAGGAGGGCTGACCGCGAAGGTTGGCCGAGTGGGAGGGTCGACCACGAGGAGGGCCGACCGCGAAGGGTGACCGAGTGGGAGGGCCGACCACGAGGAGGGTCGACCGCGAAGGGTGAGGTAGAGGGGCATGGGGCTCGAGAGGCAGCGTGTCACGTGGTAATTTGAAGTGGAAAAGACAAGGTAAGGGGAGGAGACAGTGGATCGTGGTCGTACATGTGGCAACATCCCGCAGGGAGAGGAGATTAGGCGTTGGATCAGAAATGAAACGATAGGTCATTATGGGTGTTGAAAAGACAGTTTTGGCGGATGTTTTGAAAAGTTTTCAAACTGACGAAAATTAATT